GACAGAGGTTAAGTTTCAAATATGTTAGATTCTCATTCATTTTAAACTATGTTTGTGTTTAAACTGTCAAGAACATAAAAATGGATTCCAGAGGATTTATAATAAAATACGTGCTTGCACGATGACTTCCACTGCATATTCCTTAAGTTATGCTTAGTAAATATTGTCCACTTCTTATTAGCCACTGCACCTGTTGCCTTGCTAACAGAATACTGATTTTTTTCCCAGGAACTTACATCTTTTAAGGTCAGGTAAAAAGAGCAACTCAACATTAAATCCTGATCAGTCTGCCAGTTACTATAATCACATTCCATTTTCCAGTCATATTTATGCATGAGCATGTGACTTAGGATGACTGTTAAAAGGCTCTTGGGGGAGGTTTCCGCTCTTCTACAAAGATAACTTGCAGAGGAATAGGTGGTCTCTTGTACCATTACATATTATTTTGTCTTTATGTGACGTCTGGAATTTGGCAGCCACCTTGTAACTATGAGGAACTATCTTGAGAACAAAGCTGGTAAACTTAAGATGGCAGTGTAGAAAGATGAAAAGTGCCTAAAGTCCCAGGCCCATGAAGCTTTCCAACTCCTAGACTTCATATTATGTGAGATGAGGTAGCCAAAACCATTCTTACTGGTAACACTTGAAGTCCAAGAGCACTTGTGATCTGGACCTCAAATTCTAGAGATTTTCTTTTTCTCTACTGAATACTAGAGGTACAGAGTTGTTTAACTATGGGCATAATATCCTTTAAGTAATAGAATTATGAAGCTTTGGGGGGCAATGTCAAAATAACTCTACATTGAGATTCTAATGACATGACATCATCTAATCTTGAACAAATTACAATTGAATTCTCACAGTAAATGACTTTTTTTTTTGAGAACAAGTGTGTCTTTGTTATGTGAGCTGGAGTGCCACGGCCTCACAGCAACCTCAAACTCCTGGGCTCAAGCAATCCTCCTGCCTCAGCCTCCTGAGTAGTGGGACTACAGGCACGCACCACCATGCCAAGCTAATTTTTCGATTTTTAGTAGAGACTGAGAGGACAGAAGTGACTCCATTTTGTAAAAACTTGCCACTGAGTAGCCTGTAGGAAGTCTCCGCCTACAGAAAGCCCCTTGTCCCAGGAAATTCCACAAATTCTGTGAAACCCTTAGAATGCCCCCCGCCTGGAACCCAGCCAATCAAACCAACCCCTGTGATCTCTGGTAGCAGTGTTCACCTGCATTTTATTCTATCCCATAATATGCAACCCTTATAAAGAAAACAGACAATAGCGAGGTGGGGCTCTCAGCCAGGACCTGCCTGCTGTGTTGGGTCCCTGAGAGCCCAGGCTCGAGCTTGAATAAAGGCTCCTTGTTTTTGCAT